TGCAGGTGGAAGTGAGGCACGATAAGCTCGGTGTCTGCCTGATTGTAAACAATCGGGTGGCTGGCACTTATTTCTGGGTTCTTATTGACAAAACCACTCAACTCTTGGTGGCTCTTAATGGAGGGTCAAATGTAACAAATTTTCACTGAGTGGCTCTCAATTGAGGGTGGCGCTTATTTGCGGGTTTTTACGGTAATCATCACATATCAATGAATGTTTATACATGGATGCTGTAGGACAATAGACAGACCTGGATAATTGTGGGTTAAAATCTGTACATATTAATTACCCAATTTGCATAATTAACCAATTTTAAGCTTTCACACTGATATCTAAAGTACTAATTTCCATTTTAATGAAACTTAGTACAAAGATGCTCTAGGACAATGTACAAACCTAATTAGTTTGGGGTCAAACTCTGTTCATATTATTTCCCCAATTAGCATAATAATTCATAATTTTTTGGTTCTAATCACATTTCAATTAAACTTGGTACATAGAGTTTTTGTTACATTGCGCAGACCTCATTAGTTTTACAATCAAATCTGTTCATGTTAATTTTCTGATTTGCATAATTAGTTTTCAGCTAAGTAATTTCAAATTATATTTAATGTGTCTCCAATACTCTCAGCACATGGGAGTTCTTTCTAAGCTTTCTTTGATTACTATTTTGTTCCATTATTTGACAGCTTCTTCACCAAGCAAAAGTCCATATGGTGACCTTGCTAGACCAAACACACTGAACCTGTCAAATCGTTCCTTGAGTAGTAGCAATCCTGATTTAGCAGTCACTCCAACATCACCTGAAATTGACTATTATACACTAGGACGATCTCCCAATGAAAGAATGAGGAGTGCTACCAGAACGTCAATTGCTGAGACTGGAATGGGGAATGTTCCAGTTCAGGGCTTGGGTGGAAGAATGCCAAGTAAAAAGGTACATTTAATTGTGGAGTGGAATGGACTTGACTTGATTGGACTGACCAGGACTGGACATTTCAAAGTAACCTTTTTCAGTGACTACCCATGATGCAATGCATGACAGAGTGAAAACTTTCTAAAGTCTTCTCTGTCAATCTTGTATGATGCAATGCATTAAACAGTAATTAAAATATTTTGAAGTTGCCTTTTTTTTCCATATCCCATGATGCATTGTAAAAAATGGTTAAAGCATTCCAAAAAAAACCTTCCCTTTCCATATCCCATATTGCAGTGCATGAAATTGTCGAAAACATTCCAAAGTTGCCTTCTCTGTCTATCTCCCATGATGCAATGCATTACAAAGTTAACAACATCTGTATTCCAAGAACTGAAAATCAATTGATTACTGTAGAGGTCTGTTTTAATGATGCATCCTGATAGTCTATACTCACAGTGAGATAATTTACCAATCAAATAATAATAATTATTCTTCTTTTATTTTCTTTGTTGTGTAGTTAGTACATGAGGAATTAGCATTACAGATGGTTGTGTGCAGTGGCTCTATTAAAGAAACTGCTTTGCAGCATTCCTGGTTCTTCTTTGAGATGATGGTATGTCTTACTATTTTCACTCTTGTGCTACACATTTCAAATATAGGCTATTATAAAAAAAACTGAATAAATCAAGATATAATGCTGATTGCGTCACATTAGAATTAGAGATGGAAAGCAAATTACATGTATCTTAAGTGACTTGCCATATTTACACTGTGTTTAATTATTTTGTGCAATGTTGTTTAGTCTGTTTAAAGTGTTACTCAGATCTGAGAAATATTGAAAATAAATTGCAGCATATGGCCAATTATCTAAACATAATTCCTACCTCATTTAAGTGTTACTCAATGTTTGCATTGCTGAGAATCTCAGTGGTAATATATGCTCTATTCAACCTATATTTGTCTTGTATTTTCAGATTAAAAGCATGGCTTTATACGTTGCTCAGACTGGACGTTTAATGATTAATCGTTGTGAAAGATTTCCATCTCGATTTCTTGATGATGTTAACACTATTACTAATTCAGTCACTACAGACATCATTAGCAGGTACAATAAGGTATGTAACATGTTGATAATCATGTTTTATTTTTCCTAAAATAGATATACTTGATTTTAACCAGTATGGCTGACTGACAGCCATTGGTGTTACCATTTTGTTAAATTCTCGTACATTCATTGTCAAATAATATCAGTCACTTCAGTATGGAGGGGAACCTGTATACTGTAAAATATTTTTATTTTAGCTAGAATTAATTTTCAATGAAATATGTTTTGGGTGTTTTGTATGAATTTTATTTTCACTGATTTCTGACGTGAAATATAGGAGAAAAGGTATATTCGCTAGATTTTATTTTCACTGAATCATTTCTTCAGCGAAAATAACGAAAATGAATTCCAAGTGAAAATAAAGTATTTCACAGTACTTTGTCATAAACTTATTAAACATGGTGAGAATAATAGTCTTGTGTTTCATATATATTACAGGACTTTCGATTTAGCCAGTGTGTGAATTCTAGCCTTGCATTTTTCTTGGCTGACTTGATATCATTGATGGATGTCACATTTGTTTTTTCATTGATTCAGACATATTGCAAACAAGTAAGTATCTGATATGAATTATTTTTTACATCAATTGAACCATTTAGTACAGATTGTTCGGGGGACTTGTATGATGTCCGACTGCAAACCACTTCAATTTACAAATTGTCAGCAACTTTCACAAACTTTTGTATTCCTGTCAGTAAAAATTATAACTTGGTACCCATTTATCTGTTGTTTTTACTTGTTATCTGAAAATAGACCTCAGTTTGTCAGTTATTCATGCTGGTGTTCGTATGCACGATAACATTTCTCTTTTTCTTTTTTTTTACCTTGTTCGTATCATCATAGATGAAGGTCAAACTATATGTGGGGAAAATGTATCTCCTTGTTGTTGTAGTCTCTGGCGTAAAGTTTTTTCCCAGATTTGTTCATTTTGTGACAATACCTCCAATTCTCTATTAAAGGTTAATAAATATTTCTGTCAATTTTAGTAAAAAAAACCTATTTTTGACTTTTCACTTTGATCTCTCCATCTCTAGGTGTCTTTTAGAATATCGCAATTAGCAGACCCGACCAGTTTAGCAATGCTGAAACAAGATTTCCTGCGAATTATTTCCAGTCATGAACACTATGTGACTATCAATCTTCCTTTGCCATACCCATTGTCATCTCCAGCGTCATCTCCATGTCCATCTATAGCAAGTTCTACATCACAGAGTTCATATTTATCGTCCAACACATTAACTGATCAGCGTTGCAGTATGGCTGAGTTGTCTACTGAATTCCGTCAACAGCATTATATAACTGGTTTGATTCTTACCGATTTGTCCTACATACTGCAAACCCAGCAGTAAGTGTATATGCATCTTTTTCTTGTCTGATGACCGGTAGTTTAGTTGTTGTTGCTCCCCTCCTGCCTTCACATTTACTCCCAAATATATGAATGTTGTTACTGTGGCAAAATGCAGTGTGTGAATTTTTATCAGCATGTCACTTCTGCTAATCACAAGAATACCACAAAATATACACTATGTAGTATGATGATTAGTCAATGTGATCCTGTACTGCCTAAGTGCTTATATTTGCTGTATTCTCGTAACACAGCCTGAAATAGCAAGGAAAACGTTTTGCATTGAGTGGTGTTATGTCAATAACCTTGAAAGTGTTAGTGATGTGCAGTTGTAGTTGTAGTTCACCCCAAATAAAGGACATAGAAATGATTGCAAATAAATATTTTGAACAAATTTTGTTTGTTTGTTTTTTTTTGGGGGGGGGGGAATAATGTTTATTTTCAAGAGTATTGTATGTTCTTCTATACTTCTCATGCAGTCATTTGAACATTCAAGGTTAATTTTGAATGAATGAATGAATGAATGAATGCAAATATGATGAATTCCATTGTTTTCGGGATAGATGTGTATGATAAACAGTATCATACATTGTTCTATAAGAAGCCTATCTCTCATAGAAGTGCACGCAAGCCAAAACTTGTCAAAAGATATGCGCTACTAATACGAAATTATATGTCTTCTGTACTTGCATACCGGTATTAGTTAAATAAATTTAAAAACAAAAAATTTACTTACTCGTAATTTACAATTTTTTGTTGTCTTTCTAGTAATCCAAGCCTACATCGTCAAGCCGTGGACACTACATCAAATATCCTTGCATGCCATGATGCCGATTCACGCTACGCTAGCAGAGAATGTCGTATGCGTGTGGCATCGCTTTACCTTCCTCTCATTGGAATAGTTATGGATGGTTTGTCACAGTTGCATGATGGAAATTTAGAGCCTAGTAAAAGGCCACCGTCGGCCATCTTGGATGATGAAATGCCTTTGAATCAAGCTATAGCCATGGCAGCAATTTCTGGTGTAAGTGTACAAGAACCTACCTCATTAAAGGTAAGTATACTGTTGTAGACGAAGAAATATTCACTGGGTTTCAGATGTTATGTTGTATGGATATTCATGAGTTTTAAATTCACTGGTTAGTGAAGGAAACCATACATTCTGTGGCTAAATATAGTTTTTGGCTTGCCAGTAATGAAGTGAAGAGAAAATCGTAGTAGTGGCAAAACGTCAATGTTAACTTTTCGTTTGGTTACAATAAATCTGTTCGCTATCAAATTTATACTAAGTTAATCTGTAGGTCTAGTTGGCCTGTATAGATTTTGGAGTTAATCTTTAAAAAAATTGTGTTTTAGGGGATTCTACAATATGTATGATGTCATACTTTACCCATGATCCTTTGCTGAAGAATCAAGATGATAGAATACATAATACTGATAAAAAGTAGAATATCTAGAAAATGAAAAGTGATATCAAATTTGTTTTAAATTGCCTTCTCTTGCATTTGTGGAACTCTTTTATCTGGAAGAAATATGTTTGCTTGGACTTCTCTCTTTTGAAGCAATTCACTGAGAAGACGCAAAAATGTTTCAACCATGGAGTTGCATGTTGTTTGCAATTTGATCATTTGCTGAAAAGTGTTTAATGATTACGTCAGTGCTAATTTAAATAATATCATGACCAAGCTATTAGAATAGCATATTCATTACAAAGTTATGCTGGCACCAGAAGTACAGGAAATTGTGCACAGTAACTTTTATAGCAACTAGGGAACCCTTAACTCACTTAATATTATAGTTGAACTCCCTAAATTCCTGAATCTACAAAATATGCATGCATGTTTATGATTATATGTCACTCATTTAAATAATTCTGTACATTCAGAGGCCTAAAAACTCTACCAGTCTCAATCCATTATCTACAAGGAATCTATTGATGTGTTTTCTGTGGGTCGTTAAGAATGTTGATAAAAAGATACTACATCAATGGTGGTGTGAATACTCACAGAGCAGATTACAACAGTTACTGGATGTTCTTTTCTTCTGTGTCTCAGTATTTGAATATAAGGTATGGTTTATCAGTTAAAGTTTTTTTGAGAAGTGTATGATTTTTAAGCTCCATCTGTGAGTCTACAATGTTTGAAGTAAATGATAATTTCTAATTTCATCACAGATGAGAATATTATTATTTCATGGCTGAGAAGCATAATTATATGGTTATTAAAACGTTTTAATTGTGAATATTAAAAACTTATTCTTTTTGTCTGTTTTAGGGAAAAAAGAATTTGACCTCCCAGTCTAGGATGTCATTTAAAAAATCAGTAGATGCCAAGGCAAAGCTAGAAGAAGCGATACTGGGAAATTATGGTGCTCGTATGGACTTGATGCAGAGACGAAGTAAACAGTGGCAAACTGGTAAAGTTTTTATTGATTAATCATAATTTTGAACCAAACTGATTTAAGTTGACATCTTTCATAAAAGTAAGAGTTTGGTTTTACTCAGATACTGCTTTATTTTGACCAAACTTGTTGATGCTTGTGCTGATTAGATGTTTTACAATTTTGCTAAGCAACAATATAGTGCTCAATCATCATGGTGTCAGACATCAAATCACAATTCAATTTCAAAGTAAAAGATGTATTTGATACAGAATATATTCTAATGTTATTGCTGTAAATGAATTTTACCTGTGACAGGTTGTCTAATTAATATGCATTCTGAGAAATTGACCCGGGTATGTAAATTGATGGCCTTTGAATGAATGTTCCTTTATGCCAGATATCACACTGAAATCTGAACCCCGTATGTAATATGAACATGTCTTTGCAGCGGACAAACCAACCAATGTGTTTGCTACAACCCAGGGTGAAAGGTTACGATGGCGGAAAGATCAAACACAGACATGGAAACAGACAGCTGATGCAACAGATCAGTAAGTTGTCATGTTTTCTATTTCAACTCGCATTACTTCATATATCCATCTGTGTACATTCATGCTCAAGTCTTCTTGTAGCACTATATCTCAAATCAAAACACATGTAAGCTGATGATATTTTTTTTATCATAGTTTTACAAAAAGAAGTATGTGTTGTTGCTTAAATATTATGGTGACCACCCTGAATTGTTGCATAAACTAGAACATTTGAAAAAAATATATTTTCATATTCTTTATTTTTTCCAGCCCTCGTGATTTAGAAGCTGATGCTTTGCTGGAAAGTAACCTAGCAACAGAAGTGAATATGATTGTACTTGACACATTGGAACTCATTGTTTCCGTGAGTAACATTATGCATCTTAAATTCTTCACCTGTTAATTAGTCCCCGTTAATTAGTCCGTAAACGGGGACTGGCGTCCATTTTGTTTTAATGAATGTGGTTCTAGTGCCATATCTCTGATTTGCTTTAACTGATTATGTTCAAATTTTAAATATTCATTATAGATCATGCCATAGATATACAGATATATTGGTTTGATGATCCTATTAAAAATGGCCAAATGGTGGCCATTTTTGTGCTAAAAAATCAAGCATTTCCCGGCTGTTTACAGATGGATTTTGTTCAAACCTTGTATATACGTTGGACATTATAGGACCTTGATGCACATCATTTTGTTTTTCAGATAAGATTCAAAATGGCCGACTGGCAGCCATTTTGTTTTAATGAATATGGTTCTAGTGCCATATCTCTGACTTGCTTTGACTGATTATGTTCAAATTTTATATATTCATTATACATGTATTCAAAATGGCCGATTTTGTTTTAATTAATGCTGTTCCAGAGCAATATCTCTCAATACTCGTTTGACTATCAGATACAAATGTCAATCATTTTAATGTTAAACAATCATCATATTTCTAATACTATAAACAAAACTATATATCTTAAATTCGATAACTGGGACTGTGCCATGCATGGCTTGTTCCTCATTATTATTTCATTATTATTTTAGGTCAACTAAAAATCACATGCTATTGATTAAAACTAAACTTGTTTTGTTTTTTATTTCAGACTATATTGTCATGTGATAATCTTCAGAATTTGCTCGGCAGTGTGTTACGTGTCTTGCTGCATCAATTGGCGTGCAACCAAAGTGTGGTCGCTTTACAAAATATCTTAGGAACTCAGAGAGCATTGGTGTTCAAGGTAAAGTTGTAGTCAGTAATCATTAATGTATGCTTTACAATCAATTAAAGTTCACTCTAGGAATAGTACACTATACCATGTATTCCTATGAGCTCTGTGTGAGCCGCTGTGGAACACTGGTCGAAGAGCCGATGAAAACAGCTTAGACTTGAGGAAACAGCACAAACTTAACTTTCTGAGCAACCAAATTTATATATGTTGCACATGTAAGAGTAATTTTGTTATACTGTTCAGGAGAGTCTCAACAACTATCCCAAAGTACAGTTTTCTGAGAGTTTTCAGCCTTTGTTTTCACCGTGATAGTTGCCAAGTCAAGTGGTGAAAATGCCCGGATATCCGCTCCGAGAATTGATTCAAACTAAATATCTACTGACAGTCAATTAGTATAATTGGTAACTACAGGCATTCTGAAACTTGCAATCTCATGAATAAATCTTCATAGTTGTTGAAGTAGTTGAGTGTAGAAACTCAGGTTAAGCCGAGGGCTCCACTCTAGAGGTTGCTAGCTGTATTGTCTTCATACATAGCCATATACAATAGAGATTTTGATTCAGTAAGGCAATGTCTTATGTATCTGGCTGGTCTTTTATTTGTTTAATGTATTTGAACAGACAATTATACATGACCACAACCTTCATGATAGAAAATAGGAATAATGTATCTATCGCTAAAAATAGTATGAAACTTGTCATCAACTGAAATTTGATTTGACTAGTGCATGATGTAGTTAATTGGTATTTATGTAGGTGTTTGGTTCCCACGTGCATGTATTTGTTTCATATCTGATCAATGAAAAGATTGATCCTAAGTACAAACTGCAGTGTTCTTAAATGTTATTTTATTTTCGTTCATCTTTCAGTTCCCAGAACTATTGTTCGAAGAAGAAACAGAACAATGCGCAGATCTCTGTTTAAGATTATTGAATCACTGTAGTTCGTGTATAGCAGTCGTCAGATCTCATGCCAGTGCTTCACTGTATTTGCTGATGAGACAAAACTTTGAAATAGGCAACGTAAGTAAACATTTTAGTTTAAAGAGCCATCACAGTGACCATTTCCCATGTATAGTATTTCAATGAGCAAACAAGCTATCTAGTCATTAACCTTTTCACCACCAGTTCCCTCTTTTCATCACAAATTCACAAAATAGTTCTGTTTATAATCTGCACTTTTCTTAAGAAAATCGGGACAAAAATAGCCAAATTTTTTGAGTTAAACTGAAATTTACTCAAATTTTGTCTCTCGGCTCCAAAATTATGGTTCATTTCCAGAAATATTGAAGAGTATAAGAAAAAAGTACAGACAAATTTGAGTGAGAAAGTCTGGTGGTGAGAAGACAAACACTGCTCTATGTACTCAGACAATAAAGCTGTGACAATATTTATACAGTGTTGGAAACAAATCAATAAAATAATATTAAATAAATTGTAAGTACTCTGTTTCTTTTAGAACTTTGCAAGGGTCAAGATGCAAGTTACTATGTCTCTGTCCTCCTTGGTTGGAACTGACCATACCTTTAATGAGCAGTTTTTAAGACGATCCTTAAAAACGATATTGACATATGCAGAGAATGACGGTGAACTGCAAGATACTACGTTTCCAGAACAGGTAAATACACTTCTGGTATTCATTTCAAACTGTGAAAATCCTGTCAAAATCTTAATATTGGCAGTGTGTTTGCCCTGTTTATTGCCACAGCCAAGGAATACAAATTTGCCATACTATAAAATATTTTAGCTTGTATTTAATTTTCGCTATTTTCGCTGAAGGACTGATTCAGTTAAAATAAAATCCAGCGAATATACCTTTTTTCCTATATTTTACATTCAACTCACCAAAAATCAGTGAAAGTAAATTCCATACAAAACACCCAAAAACTCTTTTCACCGAAAATTAATTCCAGCTAAAATAAAGTATTCTACAGTAATATAACTTCAGATTAAAACAAAATTTTTCTTTCATACCATACTATGTCTACCTCTGCCTCATGAATGTCACTGTGTTTAAACAAATATATCTTTGACGTGGATTAGTTAATTTGATTATTTTCAGGTTCGTGATTTAGTGTTTAATCTTCATATGATATTATCTGATACTGTTAAAATGAAAGAATTCCAAGAAGATCCAGAAATGTTGCTTGATTTGATGTATAGAATTGCCAAAGGGTAAGTATGGTGACTAATATATATATATATATATGTACCTGTACCATATACCCTCTATTAATCAAAATTGCCTGTGCGGGAGGGTCGTCACCTGTGTATGCGCGGGAATTGAGTCCCAAGCGACGATAACAACACATGCTAAAAACGCAAAGTCTCATGAGTAGACAATTGTTTGTAAACAATAACACGCTGTGGCCATCTGACGCATGCACAGGTGATGACTCCCCCGCTTTAATGTAATATTTCGTCAATATTCAATATTTAATCTGGGAAATGCCTGATTGGAAATTTTTTTTCTCTTTATTTCAGTTACCAAACTTCTCCAGATTTACGTCTGACATGGCTGCAGACTATGGCCAATAAACACTCTGAGCATAATAATAATGCTGAAGCTGCTGAGTGTTTAGTTCATTCTGCAGCTCTAGTTGCCGAATATTTACATATGATAGAAGATAAACCGTATTTACCAGTAGGATGTGTTGCATTGGAGGTAAATTCCCAATAGAGATCAAAATTTTCACATTTTAAAATATTATTTGTGAACAGTTGAACTGATTCTGTGTGTGTTATATATTTTAGAAAATTTCACCCAATGTGATAGAGGAGAGTGCTGTATCAGATGACGTGGTATCACCAGACGAGGAAGGCATATGTACTGGCAAGCTATTTTCAGAGAGTGGATTTGTAGGTTTATTGGAAACAGCTGTTAGTAAATTTACATATGTAAGTGATCTTTTATATACCATATCTTTGTTCTACAGTGTTCTAACCTCAACGTGACAATAACAAAAATAAGATTGTTCATACATGTATCACCATTTTTGTTTTTAAGTAGTATGCAAATTAGCTCATTAGCATATTGACAACCATTCAAATGCTGCTTTGTGCATTATCAGCAGCTCTCATTAAATGCCAGTAGATGATAGCTCTGCCACCAAGTGCGCAGATTATGCCACACATTATACATCATTTACTTTATGGGTATGGTCACAATTGTTTCACTATGCTTTATCTTCCCACCAGGCTGGTATGTTTGAAACAGTGAATGAAGTTTACAAAATACTAATTCCTATTCATGAAGCCAATAAAGACTACAAAAAGCTAGCAATCATGCACGGCAAAATCAGAGACGCATTTAACAAAATTGTACAGCAGGTAAGAGATCTTTGTATTGATAGGGATAATTCATGTGTTCCAGTGTTGTTGATTATGTTACTATTTATGATTATATATTCAGAACTGTGTAGTATCAGTTAGCAAGATGGCTTCAACTTTGCAAAACGTGGCTTTTCACGCTTACTTTTGTTAGACTTGACAACACCATTTGATATACAAGTGTGATTTCATGCGGTGATCAACTTTATACATGGTTTATGTATTCAATGTAATGTGGAATGTATTTTTACATTGTAAATATTTTGAGAAATATTGAAAACCTGTAAATAACAGTGGATGTTGGACTGAAGGTTTCAAACCAATGTGTATCCCTAACTCATTTTAGTCAGTAGCACCATGGGATTCATTCCTAACCATCACTAAAGCCATTTGTATGTGAATTGTACCATTAAATTCTCCAGTACCCATCCACAATCTCAATATTTGATAGTGTATATCAGGGGGTCGTACCTGACAGATTTGCAAAGTAGGAATGCAGCTTTAAGCAGTAATTATGTATAACATTCTACAGTTAAATCAAGATTGGAGTATTTTATTTCACTATAAAATAGCAGACATCATTTGCATTTGTCAGATCTCTGTTATATTCAGTTTTATATGCAGGCTAATATCAATATTGGTAATTGCAGGGCCATAAGAGATTATTTGGTACATACTTCCGTGTTGGTTTCTATGGCAACATGTTTGGGGATTTAGATGGTCAGGAATATGTGTATAAAGAGCCACCTATAACAAAACTACCTGAAATAGCTAATAGACTGGAGGTAAGAATCATTTCTTATAGAAGATAGTTTTTATGTCAAATTACAGTGCTTGTCTTGACTGTATTATTCTAATCATAGCATGTGATTATCGTGTGTTCATAAGTACAATATATATAAGGGGCATTAACAAAACACTGAAATTTATGGCTGAATGACCCATACAGCAAAAGTAATTTGACTTTGTTTTTGACTTTGACAGTCCTTCTACAATGAGAGATTTGGTAACGATGTCGTTGAAGTGGTCAAAGACTCCAATATGGTAGACCGAGAGAAGTTACAAGCCAAGAAAGCATATGTCCAGATTACTTACGTGGAGCCATACTTTGATTTCTATGAAACTCTCAGTCGGGAAACACATTTTGAAAAAAATATAAACATTCGTAAGTACCTATGCTGAATGCATGTGTATGTTGTCATCTTGTGTTTTGGATTTCGGTAATTTAATTAAATTTACAATACATTATACTGTACAGCTGGTTTTTTATTTTGATATTTGCACCAGTAAGTAAAACCTGCTAATTAAAATTAAATTTATGCGAACATGTAGATAGAACAATAGACCTCATTGTTTTCCTGTTCTCAAAACATCAAAATGAATTATCACTTCATATCACTTGTTTGTAGTAGTGATTTATACGAGAAAAGTCCACAAACTTTTTTATCACATGACCAACTCTGGATGTCATAACGACAGAAAAATCATGATTTTACAGAGCTACTCTTGCAAGAAATCATTTAATTTATGCATCAAGTCTAACCACATTAGTGGATGTGCAGTTGCAGTTTTTCAAAATAATTTTTGTGAGTAATTGTCGTTGTCGAGATATTTTCATCCTACCATATTAGGAAATATGAATTCCAAATATGGATAATAATAAAAACAAACATGGCTGCCACTAAGGTTTGACCAGATTCCACACAAAGAAGTTCACTGATTCTGTTCTAAACATTTTGAATTTCGGCATTCCATTGATGGAAGGAAAAGATGTATAATAATAAGACAGTACACCATCGCATCCACCTCCGCTGAGCGTCTGTTGATACTTCCGCTGTACTGTCTTTGTGTATACTTTTCGGTATCCTCGTAATAACCTCGTAGTATCACTACTGTGAATGATATCCACAGTGGTCATATGATAATGTGTCCCATGTCACATCCATATTTACACTTATGTTACAAATGCGTCTAGTAATCTGTAGATGACTCTCACAATATAATATGTGATATGTTTTCATATACTGTAAAGTACTTTATTTTCAATTGGAATTAATTTTCAGTATTTTCGCTGAAAGGATGATTCAGTGAAAATAAAATCCAGCGAATATACCTTTTTTCTATATTTTACATTGAGCTCGTCAAAAATCAGTGAAAATATATTCCATACAAAACACCAAAAACAGCAAAAATTCTCATCTAAAATAAAGTATTTCTTGTCCTATTTGCAGGAAGGTTTATGTATGCAACGCCATTTACACTGGATGGCCGTGCTCATGGTGATTTACAAGAACAATACAAACGTAAGACTATCCTGACTGTGTCTAACTCATTCCCATACATCAAAACCAGACTGTCTGTCATATTTAGAGAAGAGGTAAGTGATATTGAAAGCCAATTATAGTGAATGTTTACAAGCATGTCAGTGAGCCAATCATAGTGAATGTTACAAGCTTGTCGGTGAGCCAATCATAGAGAATGTTACAAGCTTGTCAGTGAACCAATCGTAATGAATGTTACATGCTTGTCAGTGAGCCAAACATAGTGAATGTTACAAGCTTGCA